CAAACTATAGAACTAAAAGTCAGCCAAAATCTCTTTTTTTCATTTCCGCTTTCAGCAACTGTGCTTCACCAACTATTACTCAGTCCAAAGAAGTCATTTCGGCTTTAATCACTTCTTCAAAAACTACGACTGAGCTATCGTTTATGTATATGCATATATTATTATACCTAAACTCGAAGTCGTGTAGAAGAGCCAGCATACTAGCGTAACCCAATGATTGCCATGAACATAGACTTTGAAAAGCGACTGTACCTTTCTTGGAGTATTTGAATACCTCAGGATTCGCTACTGAATACACAAAGGGTTTGTTTGTCGTGCAAATTGAGATTATGCTACTCATTCTGTTTGGTAGGATCTCATAATGTGCTTATGGTAAATACGCAGACGATAATGCGGGGGGAAGGGCGTCTATGAGACACTAAGGGGAGGGGTTGGGGTCGTAACCGGAGGTCATGCGCTACACCTCTTACTCAACCCTGTTGTTCCGCACAGGTGTACTTGTGATTCAGAGTTGCAATAATCACGACAGTAATGTTGAAGGTAACGCCAATAAGGCAGAACCGTTTTTATTTCAGTTATATTCCCACAGAAATGGAGATCACTAGTCAGCGCTCCCGACACTGAAACTGGAATTTTGATGAAACTTCCACAAGCGAAAAAGGCCTTGTTGGGAAAGCTCCGCTTCCCAACATAATCAGAACACACTGTTCGGAATACTCTTCTTTGACAGCGCTCCAATGCTATGTCGTTCAATAGTTCAAAATTGAATTCTAGTTTTACCCCGTTGTGAAGAGCGAATGGAAATCTCAGGTCCACGTTTCCTTCTGGCGGACGATACGCAGGGCATTGGCTAGGGGACAACACCGCCACATGGGAAGATCTCCAGTCGGCCGTGATCGGTGCCCAAGAATTCAATATGTTTGGTTACCCGTGAGTTCATACAGTCCCATATTGGGCGTTACAGAAAGAAACCTTAACGCAAAAGTCAATTAAGAAAACCACATCCAGATATATCGGTTCCGACATATGCGGCTTTAATGGCGAAACAACAGAGGAACTTTGTTTAAGATGGCAGCAGATGGGAGCCTTCCACACCTTTATGAGGTACCAAAAATCTAGAAAATGACACCAATGCACGCGTTATCAGACATTTTTCCAAAGTCAAAAAATGCAGTTACGACAACCATTTGTTCTCTGT